CCTGAACATTCCATTGCTGACCTCAGAATAGCTGTTCATGAACAACAGATTTTTTTAAAACAGACTTGAATAGAAAACTTCAAAGCAAAAAAATGCACAGACTGGATTGTGTTAAGGATGGTCTAAACAGGGACTACAGATTCCTACCCCATTCCTGGATTCTTTTGTGACACCCATAACCCTACTGGTTTCCTGCTTTTTCTCCTAAACCCTCTTGGCCTCTCTCAGTACTTTCCTTTCCCTCTCCCAGTCCCTGTCTATTATAGTCAAATCACTATTTGATAGCCAGCTCCCCATATGTCCATTCATGGCATCTGACAAAGTGAGCTGTGCTAAAAGTTTATACATCTTTGATTCAGTTAGTCTATAAGGTGCCACTCTACCTTGTCTTCAGCTTGAAAAAAGCAATATATATCTGATGGAAGTATTTACATCTAGAGATAGGGAATCCACCTCTCCCCATTGACATCTGTTTCATCACCATTGTTAAGAAGTGTGCCTCATTTGCCATTTAAATTTGTCTGCCTTCTACTTCCAATCACTGGTACTTGTTAAGCCTCTCTATTAACTTAGAGAAACTTTTAGTAACTAATATTTTTTTCAAGTAAAGATACTTTTATTCAGTAATCAAGTCTCTCAGCCTTCTTCTTACGAAGCTGAACAGATTGGGCTGACAGTCTCTCACCCCAAGGCATTTCCTCCATTCCTAGAACAATTTTTGCAGGGTTTTTTCCCCCCTCTTCACCCCTGCCAGTTTTTCCACATACTTTCTGAAGTGTGGAACAGTACAAAGTATTCCAGTACTACCCTCACCAATGCCTTTTAACTGGAGAAGGGAAAGAAGGGGGGGGGGAAGGGGGGCATCATGCATGATAGATACAGTATGTACACCTTTGCTTCTACTGTATGTTTATTTAAATGGGCCTACCATAGCAATAAAGCCAAATCACTCCAGTGTCCTGTCCTGTTTCCCAAATTTCAGGGCAACTGCAAAATGTATTACCGGTGATTACATTTGTTTCTAAATCTTTGTGACTATATTGATCCCTTGACAACCCCAACAAAAACACCACCAGTCAATGATTCCTACCCAGCTGAAAACTACTTTAAATAGCCCATTATCCACCAATTAATCCATTTTGCATGTGTTTTAACACAATACAATTTACTGCTACTTTTTAAATAGAACGTAGGTGCATCTACATGTGTTTTAATGCGCATTAGCCCATTTTAAAGCATCAGAAAAAACATGCTCTTTAGCCAATGCACATCAAAATAGGCTAATGCACTTTTTTCTAATACCTCAAAATGGAGGTACTAAATTTAATGAGCAATACCTGAAGCACATTAATGAACAAGTAGATGCGCCCACACACTACTAAGTCAAATGCCTTACAAAAAAGTCTAAATACTTTGTATCTACTTTTGTTGCTTCCAATTCACTTTGTCTGCCAAACATATATTCTCAAAAGAGGAAATTAGGTTTATTTGACAAGATCCATTTTGTATAAGACCAAGCTGACTGCTTTTAATCATACATTCTTATATTTGGGCACATCAAGACTTCGCGTTGTTATGCCAGGACTAATAGAACTCAGCATGCTTTCCAAATACTAGAACAACATTACTACTCCTCCAGTTTTTCAGAAATCCCCCAACATTCCACAACTTATAAAAAACGAACAGTGGGACAGAAGTCTAAGCCAAATCTAAGGAATTTTGGGTGGAAAACGGGCCAGCTTGCCAATTTTAAAATGTTTAATAATCTCTTCAGTTACTAACAGAATGGAAAGCACTTTACCATCTTCATGTCATACAAGCACTTCACCCTGCTTTTTGACAAATACAGAGCAGAAATATTTGAGTACTGACTTATTTCCAAAATGGATAGGAAACTTGATCCTATTATCCTGTTCCTTGTTACTAGTGCATTTTTCTCCACAGTGTCTTTATCTTCACTTACTAATTTCCTACAACTCCTACCCTTTAAATTTATATTTAATTCTATCCCCCTCCCCACTTTTTTCCCCATGTTTATGTAAAGCATCTTTATCACACACCGCCACTATCACTTCACCACTAACCAGGACATGGTCTTAACTTGATTTCCGAATTATGACTTTCTGATAACCTACAGCTCTTCCTAAAAAGCTTCATATTTTCATTAACATTTTTCTGCCTAGGTTCATCACCTTACCCAATGAATTTTGTTCAGTTTTGCTCAGCTTTGGGAAAACAGCCCGCCTGAAGCACCAACTGGAAGAGTGTAATTTCTGAAGCCAAGAGGGGCAATTACTCTCTCTCAGCATCATTAATTTGGACTGCTTGAAGCCCCAGATGTACAATGTGTAGTTAATTTTCAATAAATTCAGAGTACAACAAAAATAAATGTTTGGAAGCTGGTGTTTGTTTGTTTGTTTCCAATAATAATAAAAAAGCTCACACTCTGCCAAGACAGGCAAACTCCAAACAGTATCCTCAGTCAGAGGTCACTCATCACAGATCCATAGCAAGACTTGCATCTTGGTACAACCTAAAACATGGGGCTTCAACCTTTTTTTAGCAAGTGTGCCCCTTCTGGTGTCAGCAGCCAGACATAGAGCGGGGGCAGAAGATGCCTGCATGTGGTGGCTGCTGCTACCAATAGGCAGCCCACAGAGTCACACATGAAACCAGCTGTGGGAAAATAGCGCAGGGCAGCTGCCACTGCGTGCAACGCCCCTGGTGCTACTCACCCCCCAACCCTGCTCCCGGGAGTGGGCACAGAAACACACTTACCCACCCCCCCCGCCATTGAGACCGTAGCAGGCAGCCAATCAGGAGAGCGAGCATTGGGTGGAGGTAAGGGAGACTCTGCAGTGTGCCGTGTGCAGCTGGCAGCACCTAGCACACCCCTCGCCCTCCCCCTTCCCCAAGTAAGAGAAGAATGCGCTGGGGAGACAGCAACACCATGCCCCAGGGTGTGCTGTCCCCACCCGCCTGCCCCTGCGTACACTGGAAGACCTTTCTAATTACCCCAAGGGTACATGTACCCCCAGTTGACAACCCCTGACCTAAAAGGTTTGGAGGCTGGTAAAATATTCAGTAAAAAGATCATAAACGTTCTGTTAAAAACACAAGGCAAAACCTCCAAGCTTTTCCCTTCCAGGCTTACAGAGCTCCAGCTTGCAATGGGCTGCTTGGGGGACCCCCCCCTGCCCCATACGCTGGGGACTGGGACCTGGGGGCAGGGGGCAGTCTGTCAGGAGTGAGGGGCACTGGGTCGGGACTGGCCATAAATATTTACAAATGGATCCTGGTCCAAAGAAGGTTGAGAACCACTGCCCTAGGCTACCTAGAAAGGATTAAATACAGAGGAGATTGGTTCTCCCTCCCTTCTTTATAATTTATAAAGATGACCTGAAAAGATTTTTATTTTTCTTCTTGTTGAGAGATATTACAAGAAACAACTTTGATTGTTCTCCAAGAAAACATCTCGGGGCCTCACAGATGTTTTTTCTCCAGAACTTTGAGGACTTGGCTGATAAAGATTGTATGTCTCGCTAACTAAGCTATACATAATTTAGCTAGTGATCATTAAAACATTGTGACAGTTCTAGTCTGTCTGAAAAAAAATGTTTGCCATTGTCAACTGGTCAGCTTTCAGGATGTACAATCTCCTTATATTACCTTACAAAGTCTACCTACGTCTCTTGTAAGGTAGATAAGACACTGTTTTCTCCCAAAAATATAGCTGGGGGGAAAAGTACACCCCAGTGCTCTGGAAATTTTCCAAACCTTTTTCTACACTTACGGAAACTGCAGGTTAACATCACGGACAAATGAAAGGTCACACCCATTAGAAAAACACATGGCTGCAGGGTTCTGTACCCAACAAACCCCCCTGTGACTAACATACCAGTTCTGTTTCTAGCAGTCACGAACCGACAGGGAACCAAAAAACCCTCCTCTGTTCAGAACATTTAACAGCTTCAAAATTGGTAAGAACAAACCAACAAAATGAATTCACAGCATCGTTGTACATGAACACAGCCAATGATCTGACCCATGCTCCCCAGCCATACCATAAAACTCCCCATACCATGACCTAAGCTCCCCATACTGAGATACATTCTCAAGAGAGAAAATGCAGTTTTGATCTGTAATGTCCCATGTTGCCGCTAATGTGCCCTCAAAGATTTAGCGATCCGTGAGCAATCCTGGCTGGAAGTACGCGGGCATCTCAGTGTGCCCGCCCCTCCCCGCTCCTGCAGCAGCCTGTGGCTGGGTTGGGGTGGGTGGTGAGCAGCTGGTCACAAACCAGTGGGAGCAGGGGGAGTGTCAGTGCCCCCTTGCTATGATGCTGGTCTTCCCCCCAAGCCAGCGCCCAGGGCCCCCGACTGCCCCCTCCCGCCAGTATACTACCACGTGCATGGTATTAAAAAGTTATTGCATGACATGACTTTCTTTTTCACACGCACTTGCGCAGCTTAGAGGGAACGCTGGTTGCTGCCTGGCCTCCGCATGACCGAGCAGCTCAGATTCTGCCCAGTGCTCCTTCTGGACGCAGAAAAGTAGAAGGGGCCTAAACAAAAACGGATTTCATGGCACAAGTGACAGCAGTAGCAAAAATACTGGGGGGGAGGGGAGGGATTCATGTAGCTGGAAGCAGCTGTGGCCGAGACAAGGGGGCGCGGCAGCAGTTGCAGAGATGTCCAGGCACAGAAGGGAGGATTTGAAACCAAAAGGGAAACGAAAGCACCGGCTGTCCTTTACCCTCCCAAACACTCGACAGTCACCGGGCTCCTCTTCACAACTGTGCGGCTCACTTGCCCTCCCAGCTGCTTCCCCACCCACCCACGAGCAAGCCCTCCACGGCCCGCGCCCTTCCTTTCTCCCGGCCTCTCCACTCCTTCTTTCTCCCTTCTCCTTCCCGCACCCCGGGGCCCAACAAGCACCCCCCTCCGCGCCCGGGTGCGACACGCGGGTCTGGGCGGGCCGTGCCCCAGGCCGGGCGTTACCTGCCCGGCGGGCGCTCCGAGGCCCCGGGGACAAAGGCGCTGCCAGGCCCCTCCGCGCCGGGCGGGCG